GACATGATTCAGCGCATCAATGTAAAGTTCACGGGCGTTTTATGATTTTTCAATATGCCTTAGTGCTCCTTATTTGTAGTAGCCCCCTTGTCGGTTTTTGATGGACCTTTTTTCCAGGAGGGTATCCCCCCGGATCAGCAGCGCCTGATCTTCGCTGGCAAACAGCTCGAGGATGGCCGTACTTTGTCAGACTACAATATCCAGAAGGAAAGCACCTTGCACCTGGTGCTGAGGCTCCGCTAAGTTGTTTAGTTTTGGCCAGCTTCAGTCAACGTCCGCTTCCAATGTTGCAATTGATCAGTTCTTAACAGGATTTGTGTGACGAAGCTGTGCCCCAGACTTTTGTTCCAAGCCTTCTAAATGCCCGTGGAGTATCCCAAGTGGATGTCATATGCTACCATGCATTTCTGATGGTTTGGGCCTTTCACGACTGGGTTTCGCGAGGCTGCATGTACAGAAATCAGTCGTGACCTGCCGCACTTTGCCCGGCCCTGCTTCCGCACGGTCCGGCAGAGGACAGCTCGCCGAGGAGTCGGAAAAGATGGCCCCACCCGCTTAGGGATTCGACTTCAGAGGTGTTGAGTGTAGGTGGTTTCAAGTTTCGTGGGCCGATTATGAGTACTGCCTTGCGCTCTGTTTGGAGAACATTAAGTACATGGCTAAAGGGCCTCAACCCGTAACATCTTAACCCGTATTAACAAATCCTACTACACCAAAGCCTTCCAGCCTTCGAACAAAAACCAGCAACCCTTAAACTGCTACGTTTCAGGTTTGTGGTGCATGTGTGCGTTGCCGTCATCCTTGGCAAGCGGGAAGAGCTGCTTGCAACAGACAAGCAGTTCGAGCTCGCCGAGGCGTGCCACGAGATCTAACCCTAGAGCTTTGGCTCTGTAAACTATGCCTATATCGCATATGTCACCTACATGGGCCATTTGGAGCCTGAGGGTAACGTTTAGCACATTTGGGACTAAGGCTTGAAGGTTGAGGGCTTGGGGCTTGGGATTTACCTCCGCTGCGACGGCCAGAGATTGCCGGTAATGTTAGTAAACTTCGCATCCTCCAGGCCTCAGCAGCTGAAAGTTGGATTGATTCTCAGGTTCGATAGTTTCCTTAAATAGGATGACTCCACTACACCAAATACTATAATCCCACGAAGAGTCGTTCAAGCTCTTCCCAGCTGTGGGAGGCACGCACCCTGGGCCCGAAGATCCCCAAGAAGGATAAGTGCTACCATGTGCTACCTGTAACCTTCGAAGAGCCACGCTATGAGACCCATAACTTAACCCAAACCCTCAGGAAAAGCAGTAGCCCTAACTCCCCAAACCCGAAGTATCAGACCTAACGTTTAACACCAGTTCCCAGCAGTTTTGTTGTCATTACCATGTAACTAGGGTATATCCCGTACAACTGCAGGTATGTGAAGTTACAAGTAAACCTGCAAGTCCAGTGCCCTGCAGATCATGCAAGCGGGCCCTCGTGGGACAGATTTTGAAGAACTCCTGCGCAAGGCTTCGAAGAGGAGTTGAGTAAAGGTTGAGGGCTCAGGGGATTTCTCACAGGTACTGGGGAGATTCGTTGAATATGCGAAGACCATATATGGGGGTTTGCAAGTCGGGCTTTTTTTGTGAGTCCCTACGATATACCTTGAAGTATATTGGGAGCCTATATGAGGCCCCGCGGAATTGTGGAAATAAAGTCTGCATGGAAAGTTTCAACGTGTAGCTGAGTTTGCGGGTCGCCGTTTTGGTGAGGATTTGGATGTCTGATCCAAACTTGGGCGCAGATCTCTGCTTTTCCTTCCAGACGCCATATGTCATGTCGGTTATACTACAAGAAACAAGTGGTGAGTAACGAACATGAAAGGCCTCTTCCAAGACAATCGAATCCTGTCACATGCACGCCAAAAGCGACCCATGAGCTTGAGAACCTTCCTAACAGTGACAATAGAATTGGGCACTCTAGTATTATATCATACCGGAATTAAAGTATTTATCGTATTAATAATGGTTGCAGTAATTATAGTCTATACCTGTAGAGGACTTCTGACTGGAGTTGACACGCGCTTCCTAGCGGTCAGGATTCCCCCTTATGCACCCCGAAAGGCGATAATCCTCAATGTCTATACGGCCTACAGGGCCAATAAAGAGACCCGGTCAGGCGTTTGCCATCTGCGCCTTTGAGCGCCGAAGCCTGCCACCACCATTTCCACCAAAGAGGAGGGTATGTGTTCCGCCGTAAACAGTAGTTCCCTTATCAGGGTTTGGCGCAGGAAAATCTTCTTGAGATTTGGGGACTTCAGGAATGTTGCATTAACAGCCTGAGACCTTCGAGGCGCCATGCATATGTTCTGCTTACAGCAAAGCTAAGCCCCTTGCGGCAAGCCTCTATGGCGGAGTGGTGCAAACTGAGGTCACAGGATAGCAAGGGCATCAAACCTCAGAAAGCGGGTGCTTATACTCATTTCTTTGCGCTTCCATTCGAGCCACCTAGGTAAGGGAAACCCAAGTTGTAATAAGGCAACAACCTATAATCTGTTGCGGACACTGTTGTAAGTAACACTAATGCATTCGGTTAGATATTCAGGTCATGAAGATGGTGCATGCGCACGCAGGAACCAGGTAATCGACGATCTGTCAGACTGGGTCTGGTCCTCGGTATCTCGCATGGATATGACACTTACTGTTACTCTTGTCATGACTAGTACTACCATTGTCCGTGGTCACCAGTAATGCTACTAGTATGACCAACACCATTACCGTTACCAATACTGTTACCATTGCTATTAGCATCACCATTTCTATGGTTACCATTACAACTTGCACTGCTATTATGGTTCTTGCAGCCATAATTACTGCTTCTTGCATACGTGCAGCTGCCTTAGAACCTGCACAGAGTGTCTCCTCCCCAAACCAGAATACCTGGATCCTACCGTGCCCTTGCTTATGGGGACATATGTATATGTGTGCATATATATATA